ATGTTCATTCATACATAAATGCATACACATTTCAATCTAGTTTCCAGCTACACTAGTTATCTTGATCCAATCAAGGCTCTGCATAATTCAAGTTTGACTTTTTTATTTTGATCTAAGCCAAAAATTGATTTGATCTTTGAACCATCTTCAAGTCAAACCAATAGCCTTAATTCCATCTAAAGTTGGAGACTTAGACTCCCCAACAAATTATATAAGCATTTATGTGAACTGTGAATTAACACAAATCTTAAGGGATGACCCACTCCACCATTAACACCAAAGGCCTTCAGGGACATGCCCTCATCAGTCTTGGACCACCTCATTTTGTAGGACATCAAAGCAAATATCAAATAAAAGAGGAAATAAAAAGAACACTGTGGATTTAATAAAAAAAAGAAACACCATATTGGGGAAAGAAATAAAAAGGGAGAAATGAATAAATTTATACAAGAGAAATACATTAAAGAAAGAACCAGTGAGACTAAGATAACGAGAAATTGCGCATAAGTGCACAAAAGAAGACTTTTTTTGTTTGACTTCAGCTTTAAATGGTGACATTTGTCAGCCATTTAAAAGAAGGCAAGAGATATGAAACATAATACTGTTCTTCCATAAATTTCTTAATGTTACACTAGATATGTTTAGCAAGCCATGAATAATTTTACATGACAAGTAGTTTGATGGAATGACTATAGTCTATGTTCCGCACAGATATTTCAAAAACCCAGCTGTATTGTTGTATTTGACACCATCTAATGTTAAGATAAACACAAATACTCCCAAAATATCTCTAAGGCGCATTTTAGCTTAAATTTCAAAAAGAATTCTTGGATAAGATACTGATTGCATTTTTTTCTATTTTTAATTTAAAAAATAAAGTAATTTACTTTTAAAATAGATGTGAGATATAATAGGATATATAATATGTTAGTTAAGCTTAATAAAGCATTATTCTTTATTTAATTGTGAGTGGTCTAGCAAGCAATATGCAGATAGGTTGATGGAACATTAACCAAAAAGATTATTTCTTAGCATGTGTTTTTGTGTTTGCTAGAAAAAGAAAATGTTTAAATAATTGAATATTTCAATAAACAAAATAACTTCAACATCATCATCATCATTATCATAATTTGCCTTTCCCCAACTATGTAGGGTCATTCTCCATTAATCATTATTTGGTTTTGAATGCAGTGTTAAGCATATTCAGAACAACTTTGCGTAACTATATCCAAGTTAGCTTGAACATGCCAATTTCTCTTCCTAATCCTTCAATGTTATTAATATTATATATGCATTTCTTAACATTCACAAAACATATTAAAACAACAAAAGCCTAGTTTCCATCATCTTAAATTCATATACTACCATCCCTCTAATACAATTGTTCAAGAGCCATCGGATTACGAAGGCCTAGAGGAAGTGCTAAATAAGGAAAATTAGAAGCTGCGGATTCATTACTTACAAGAAAATACCTCTCCCACAGATTCACATGCAAGAAAGGAAAGATAGAGCTCACGGATTGCTCCATTGGCATCTATTGGAAAATCAATATGATCACTGTTGGGACTATTTATTTTTTAGTTTGTTATTGTAATTAATTATTTATTAGTTTATTTATTTTCTATGTAGCTTGATGTATAAAAATGAATTTTAAAAATGAATCTAAACTTTTCTAGCCACATTTTCTTTCTACATGATATCAAAATAAGGTTATGATTCACTTTTTCCAACTTTTATTCTTATTCTTTTTTCTCTTCAATATGACTAATTTATTTGACTTCCCTTCCGAAACACATGGTGAAAACCATATTAAAGGAGACTTCCAAGGGCACATACCTAATATTGCTTAAATGAAATAAACTACTTGGAGTAGTCCCAAATTGTGAAGACTTTCAAAAAGGAAAGAAATCCATCATATGGATCCTCCTTCATAATTGAAAGACTTAAATTACGCACTTTATGATGAAGTAGAATATTCCATGATCATATGATCATGACAAGGTTATGGAATATCATAATGCCTGAAATCAATGGGTCACAAAAGACATTCGGGACATCATCAAATAAATGTACTTAAAAGTTAAATATGATGCTCCATTTATAAGATCAAAACTAATATCTCAAGAATTAAGATAACATCCCTTTCAATGAATATTATAATGTAATGAAGATTTATTGACCAAACTTAGACTATCCAAGATCTCAAGATAAAGTATAACACTGATACGGTAATTCTCAAACAGTTTATAAAATGAAAAAGGGTTTTTGAGTAGGCTAGAATCCATAATGAATTAGACCAAGTTTGCGTCAAGCTCTTAAGCAAAGAAAATCTACCATCTCTAAATAAAGTATTCTCAATCCTATAAAAGTTGAATAAGAAAGAATGATGGTAATGCATAATAATCCTAAATCTTGAAAAACACCAATCCTCCCGATCATGAACTTATTACTATTGATCCTTCTATTAAAGGGCAAATCTTCTCCAAAAGGTAATTTATGGTACAACTACAGCAAAAAAAAATGTTAAAATCTAATGGAAACAAAAAAAGATCACTAAAAAATGTAAGCTTTTCATGTGGAACCAAAAGTGCTAAACTTAAAAGAAATTGACAAACTCGAAACTTTCGCAAGTCACTAAAAAAAACCAACAGGGTCATGCTCTCTCACCCAAAATGGTACAAATTAAAAATCTGTTTTAATTCCTCAAATAGTTCTCACATTTGGATTCTAGATTCATGAACCATCGAACACATGACAAACCTTGCCAGTCTTCTTCAAACCTACAAATACTACCCCACAACAACAACAAGCCTTTACCCTACTACATGTGGTCGACTACATGAATCATTTTTCTTCATTATGTCCTATTAAGAGTTAAATTCTCATTTAAATCTAATAAAAAATGTCATTTTTAATACTATCTAACCAATTCTTTTTAGGTCTATCTCAATATTTTTTAACATGGGCTAGATCTAATACATCTCTTCTCCTAATCGGGTCATTGATAGGCCAACATTTTATGTGACTAAACCATCTCCGACAACTCTCTCTAATCTTATCTACCATTGGAGCTACTCCAACCTTTTCACGTACATACTCATTTCGCAGGAACAGGAAAATAAAAGTAGTTCATGGCTCCCAAATAACTATTCAAAGTAACATTTTGGTTTCTCCCACATGTACCCTAAAAAATATACTACATGTTCTTTACCTTGCAATAAATCCTCAATCAATTTATAAAATCACTAAAAAAATAATTGCAAGGTAACATTTTTCATTAATCATTGTATATTTCAGGACCTTTCTTTAAGAAAGACGATTGGACAAGCTTATGGAAAGGAATGGCATATGCATTCTTAAAGATAAAAATCATTTGTCATGTTTCTTCATCTCCACTCTTAATACAAAAACCATTGAAAACATCATTATAGTTCAGTGCATCCCTCTTTCAAGATATATGTTTATTTTTGTTTATGAATGTTAATGATGAAGAGTTTTATTGTAACACTTATAAAATTATAAAACATTATCGTGCTTCTTTTAGGGACCCTCATGATCCCTACGTTATGAAGTGACAATTTATCACTTTGATTGATTACGCTTGGATGATATAGGTATATCTTATCAAATAAAAATCTGGTATCATCATTATTCTCTCTGCCTTTATTGCTATGATAAAAATAAATTAATGACATCAAGATGTTTCATACAAATAATGTTTGTGATTATTTAATCAAATTTTAGCTTCTTTCTTCAATAAGAATGTAGCATTCATCAATCCTCATGTTCTAACACTTCCAACCAAAAAGGATGACAAAAGAAAAAAAAAATCTTTTGGAAGTCACCATAACTCTTCCTTAAAAAGTCAGAGTTTCAAACCATCAAGTAATAATGATCCACACATCAACACACATTCTCCTCTATATCTCATTTCTTAATACACATTCTTCAAAATTTTTCTCCTGCACAATCTTCCTTACAAACATTCAACTCCAACTCCACTAAAATATAAAAACAAATATTTGAACACTAGAAAATAAAAATGAAAAGAATGGCATAAGATACGAGATGAATGCATTGAAAAAAAAAACACACTTGGGCTATCTTTAAGCTACAAAAAGGGAAAAATTTTTGTAGGAAAAAAATGAATCTTTAGATTAAAATACAGCCAAGGTGATCGCCTAAAGCAATACAAAGCAATATTAGTTGCCAAAGGATGATCCATCATATGGAATTGACTATCAAAAAATATTTGCTTATATTGCAAAATGAAATTTACAGCCCACAAATTCATTTGCTTATAAGGAAACAACTCTCCCACAAATTCCTTTACAATAAAGGAAAGAAAAAGCCCACATATTTCTCCCTTAATACCAATCAGCAACCCCAAATTAGATCCAATGGCAAGCAAATAACAACTTTTTTATTTTTTATCTTCTATGTAGCTTTTATATATCAACACTCATTGAAAGAATAAACAATCTAAGCTTTGCTTCTACAATAATCATTCATAAATTTGTCCTTTCTAATTTTTCACGCATCAATCATACATGATCTATTCTACTTAGGAAATCAGGACTACTGAAAACAGACAGAACAACACAAATATTTCTCTTCCCATCTTCCGAATTTAAATTGAAAGAAATCTATGGGCGACAATAAACCACAAAATGCACCTTGAATTCTACATATTGAAACAGGAGCCAGATTCTGATTCAATCATTCAACAAAAAGTTGGCAAGGAACGCAAAAGCATGAAGTTCCCGAACCCAAAAAGCAAATATAAAATGACAAGTTTAATGTTTGAGGTCTAAACTACAGAGAAAAGAAAACACCTTTACAAATGGAACTTGTGAAAATATGCATGTCTCCATTAACAGTAACAAATTCAAAAAAAGAAAAATCAAATTCATCCAGCTTAACAGGTCACTTTTTCAGATCTCCCTTTCAGAAGAGAGGAAAGAAATATCAAATTTAACTAAGAATTAAACACACTGTACCTGATCATCAATGAGCACAGCATTTACAGACTTGTGCCAAAATTCTCGAAGGCGGTTTAGAGAGCCTAAATGATCGTTACCAAGCTCAGTAGGACAACCATCAGGCAGCTTAGTTAGTTTGTAAAAAGAATCTTTCTTTACCCGTAGAACCTGTCAAGAGAGATTTTAGGCCTCGTCTTTTAGTACCACAAAAGGGCGGACAAAATACTTGCAACACGTTACGTCCGAGTACATTGAACCTAACAAAGCACTAGTAACATAGATTATGCAAATTTATTATATCAAATCCAACAAGGTAAACAAACTGGGAGAAGCTTTCATCAAAATTCAGCAGGTACACCACTAAAACTGGCTATAAGAACGATACAAAATGTTGCAAACTCAGATGAAACACAAGCAAGCAGAACAAAAATTTATCACTAAATGTCATAAAAAAGAAGGCCAACTTCTCTACCAAAACAGCAAACAAATGGAAGGTTTCGATGTTGCATTATGGCTAAATCAAAGTCAGAATTCTGTATGTTAAAACTTAAAAGAACACCAATATCGCATAAAAATGAACTCAAATATTTTTTAAATTTATACAATAGATAAAAACCCAACAATCCCGAGTAAAACTGTAGATTGGATAATGAAAAAAAATCTAGCAAGAGCTCTCTAATTAATGGCTTTTACTACCAAAGAAAGATAAAGAAGCAAGCGCAATTGCAAAAGAAAAAATAATAATTATAAGAAGGCTGGACAAAACTAGCTGTTCCAACAGGTCAGAATGAGAATGATCAACCTCCCAATGCAATTCAAGGGTCGGAATCAGATAGCTATTTAACCTAATGATAGATTTAATCAAACTCAACCCCATTTAACCAGACCATTTACCAAGCCAAGGTGATTGTGAGTTCAAGTTCTATTGAAGGAAAACAAAAGGTCTACTGTGTTAATGTTGTAACTTGTAAGTCTTTGCAGGGATATTGGACAACTAGAGCCCAGCAGCAATGGTAACAAAATTGGTAAAATGCTCAGATATTCGACAACGATATTGGACAACTGAAATGCAGTGACCATGGCAACCAGATTGCATGGAGCTCATACGATAAAGAACAGCTCACAATAAGGAACCAGGACCTCTTTTCTTTCTGTTATCTCATTTTTATTCCAAGAATAAATTTAAGGCGTCAATAGTAAACTGTTAACAAGTTAAAGTCCATGATATGAATAACAAGATGGCATTTCTTGATATGACGAAACCCTCTTTTCTATGAATGAATGATGGATTCTCTCAAGTGGATATGCAACTAATCATTGTGACATGGAGCGACTCCCTTGCATCCATGAGACACCAGTCTTCAGTGTTTTCTCTTGGAAACAACTTTTTTCATTGTATTCTTCACATACTTCCTTGACTTTAAGACTGCAAAATAGCAATTGAAGTTTCTCAAACCTTCTGCACCTTTCAAAGTCTTTAAGTTTTAATGTTGATCCAACGTAAGTAAGATATGTACTCATCCATTGCAACTTTGCTCCAGTTTGCTAGAGGAAAATTTTTTGCTAAACTTCTAATTGAGGTTTGGCTAACTAAAATTCAGTATCACGTTTTTAATGAAAAACTGGAGACGCAGGGGCCTTCTTATCACATTAACAGAATTGACTCTTAATTGAGTCAATTTTTAAGATAACCCAGTTGAGAATTCAAAAAGTAAAGTGATTCAGTGGGAATGAAGTTAGAATGGAGTTCATAAGGATACATTGTCCTCCTGATGCGGGCAAAAAATATAGGGGTGCCTATACCCTTCGCCCACAAATAAGAAAACAGAGCGACCCACTAAGATCCACGAAAGACGAAGCGACTAAGGATGAGGAAGGGAAGAACAAACTCTTACATTTCAAATAAAATGTAAAAACTAGAAATAAAGACTTACAACAATGACTCTTGCAAAATTTAACCGACTTACAAACTTGACTCAATCACTTGACGACACCCTAAAGTTGCTTCACTTAGAGAAGAAGGATACATGTGGAGTGGCACTTGCGGAGAGCCGAAAGAGGTTAGAAGCCCGAGAAAAAATGTTGGAAAGAGCCCGCAGGATTTTCGGAGGGGATGAGAAAGAAGGGTGGAAAGAGCCCGCAGGATTTCCTAAGCAAACCTGCAGGTTATAGCTTTTCCAAAAATAACATATCATTCAACTTTTTTTAAACATTACAAATCCTCCCATATTTATAGATATGAAAGAGGAATACCAAGAGACACCTAATAAATTCCATAGGAATTCTAAACATCACATAGCATTAAAATACCTTAAAAACATCCCAAGCCAAGGAACCGAAGAGGCATCCACGGGAACCAAGGAGACCACCCGGAACCAAGGGGCACGGTCACGGGAAAGAGCCCAGGCACGGGAAAAACCAGCAGCCGGCCGGAATCCAAGGGGGCAAATGCACAAAATACTAAAGTCCATGGAGGAAGCCAAGGAGCCACCTCATGGGAAAAGAAAATCTTGGAATTCCAAAGGCCGGTTTGGAATTCCAAGAGACAAACATGATTACTAACATAAAAAAGCATAAAAAGAACATTTAATATAAGATAACTATGAGCTAAAATCATAGCTAATAATGAGCTAACCCTTAGTTCAATAAGTGAACTAAAGACCAGCTCATAAATGAGCTAAAATTTCAGCTCAATTTTTGATTGAGCTAGTAGACTCAAGGGAAGCCAAAATCTAATTATTTTTGACATGAGTTGACCCCCCTTTGTTTACATCAGACTCCCCTTCTTGCGAACTCAGCTCCTGATGAGTTGGATGTTGATTCTCTTGAGGAGGTGCATACTGTTCATCTAGCTCTTTGAGTTTCTCACCAAATCTCTTCAAAATTTCTTTCTTCCTTTTCGAACGGTTGTTGTAGATATCTTTGTACTTCTCGAATTTTTGATCACATAGGAAACATGTGATACTAAAGCTTGTATAACGGTCTTGAAGGGATCAGTTAGAATTGCCTTCTGTAGGAATCCATCTGTCCAACGGGAGTGGGACGTCATGATTATTTTGATCGCTTTCTTCCTTGAATGTAGCCATATTTTTTGTATTTTCCATTTTTTTGACAGACTCCAAAAAACTCATAATTTATAAGACTCACAATAAGATTCACGACACAACACGACTTGACTTGACAAACTTAACAAACTAAAATAAAATTTAACAAACTATAACTTGACAAACACAACATAAGACTTCCTAACTTGCTCTGATCAAATGATGCGGGCAAAATATAGGGGGTGCCTATACCTTCTCGCCCACAAATAAGAGACTGACTTCTAACCGACGAAAATGATAACTAAAGCGAGAAAAGGAAAACAGAAAAAATACT